TCAACTCCTAGAGAGGGTCGGAGTCAACCACTACTTACACTCTATTTCACTGGACAATGTCGAGCTTTGTCACATTTGTAGATATTGCAATTGTGTCAAATGGCTGCTAACTTTGGGGGAGAGCTTCTTGGTGAGGTGTATGAGGAGAGACTTGACGAGGTATGTATGCGTCGGTGTTTCGGTTTACTGCATGGTTCTGCATTATAGCCTTATTTTTCGTTGTGGATACTTTCCGGAAAACTTGCTGAATGGATGCTAACATGAGAAGCTTCTGCACGACCTAAGAAACCTATCACATGGGATTGGTGATAGTGATGCCTTGAGGGCCCGACTGGGCGTCCAGGTGCTTGATGATCTCATGGGTATTTTCACAACGCCCGCCCCTGCTGCACAGAACATACATCTGGGAGGGGATCTGCAACATGATCATTCTGAGTATGCCCAGGGAGCAGAGTTTTATGGCACTGAGGGTGAGCTCCCGGCTCAAGGCGAACTTATCAACGATGAGCATGTGGGCATGCATAGTTTGCCGATGTTGAACATCAACCGCACAGAACCAGTCCTGGAGATCTCTAGCAAGCTGTCTGCAGCTGGAAAGTCGCATCTCCTGTACTATCTCGCTGCAGTCGCCATCTTACCATCCGTGTTCAAAGGCGTCCCGCTCGGTGGGCATGAATCGGCAGTGATATTCATTGACACGGACGGTCGATTTGATGCTGAGCGGCTGAAATCAGTGGTCAGAGGAGTTGTTAAGGCCAGAACTGACGCACTAGCTCAGGAATTATCTGGAATGTCATCTGAATCTGATAACGAGGATATTGAAACTCTGCTTGTCGCCAGTCTGCAACATGTCCATGTCTTCCGTCCACAATCATCGGCTGCTCTCCTTGCTACACTTCAAAACCTGGATACCTACATTCTTGACTTATCTCGCCATTTGTCCTCCACCAGACCTGTGCACACTATCTACCTGGATAGTGCCAATGCGTTCTTCTGGCAGGATAGATTGCAAGACGAAATCGCTCGAGTGGAAGATATCGGGCGGGTCGATGCTGAGTCGGAGCATGAGCGTAAATGGAAGCAACGGTTCCAGATTTCAGAGCTATATGCTGCCTTTGTGGCGGAACTAAAAAGATTACAGCGTCTTTTAGGTTGTATGGTGGTTTACACCACCACTATTCAAGGAAGATTCCACGGTGCTCGTGGTGGTAACTCAGCGTATACGCCGTCAGGACCTTACGACTTGTATAACCCACGCCCCTCTGTGCCAAAGGCGCCTTCTTTTGGGTCCGATCTGCCAGCTCCTTGGGGTCGGTTCCCAACTCTACGAGTTGTTGTTCAACGTGATTCGGTTCGTCCCTTTCCGCCAACCATGACTGCGCAAAATGCGCAGCGCGGTGCCCCTCGTCGACAGGAAGTTGTCAGTCGCGGAAGGTTTTCCGCATGGGTAAATGAATGGAGACGTGATGAATGGCCTCGTAGGGTCCTTGAGGGCTTGAAACAAAATAATGGCGGCAAATTCGCCTTTCACATAGGAAGAGATGGGGTTGATATCGGTTGATACAATTCTCATCTAGCTATGTACACTGTACAGATGTGTTTCAGACAGTGGCCCCAGACCGATTCATCATGCTTTCTTAACTGAACAGCTTTCCGATGGCCTCAACTGTGGTGTTTCCACCGCTGAACACGATGCCCACATCCCAACCCTCAGGAGCCTCCTTCTCGACCAGTCGACGGAACTCCTCGTTATACAGGCAAACGGCCAAACCCACCACAGCGCTTGGCTCCACCACTACCTTCATGCGTTCTAGGACCAGACGCATTGCCGCCTTGATCTGCTCCTCTGTCACAGCATATACGCCAGCGACCTTGTTCCGGTTCGAGATCACCTCCCAATTCAACAAGCCAACCGGTGTCCGCAAGCCGTCCGCGATGGTCAGTGTCGACACTGCCGGAACCCGCTCCCCGGCGTCCAGTCCACGCCGGCAGTCGTCTGCGCCCTCGAAACTGGGTTCCGCACCAAATACTTTGGTTGTCTTGTCCGAGAAGAAGGTTGCAACACCGGAATTGAGACCGCCTCCGCCGATGGGTGTGAAGACAGCATCGAGAGCCTTGGAACCCTGGCGGATGCTCAGGTGGGGCTTCTCGGCCAGCAGTTCCCTGTACTGCTCCTCAAGCTCGAGAGCCGTAGTACCCTGGCCGCAGATGATATTGAAGTCATCATAGGGCGGGATCAGAATGGCACCGGTCTTGGCCTGCACATCAGCGACGACAGCTTCGCGCTCGACGCTCGTTGAGCCACTGAAAATGACCTCTGCACCGTGGGAGCGCGTCCCGGCAATCTTGGAGGGTGTGCTAATACTAGGCATGATAATGTAGGCGGGAACACCAAGAGTGGCGGCGGCGAGAGCGAGAGCTTGAGCGTGGTTTCCTACACGAATCGATTAATAATGTGTCGCTTCATTCAAGAGTATGTTTAGGCCTACCAGAGCTGTGGGTGATAACACCCCGTTTCTGTACATCCTCCTTCCCCCGTTCGGTGATGAGTCGTAACAGAGCATGGAAGGCTCCTCGGGCCTTGAAGGCACCTATCCGTTGGTAGTTCTCGCATTTAAAGAAGAAGCGGAACTTGGGATTGGCAGGAGCTTGGCCCTCAAAGGAGGTGCCGGTCAATGCCTCCGGAGATTGCGGCGCCGAGGCAATGGTGTTGAGGGTTTGGCAAGTGAGGAGAGGCGTGCGGTGCACATAGGGTTGGATGAGGGAGTAGGCATCATGAATAGCTGAAGGGGTCAAAGATTGCACGAGCACGGTAGGGTCAGCCATTCTGAAAGACTTGATTGTCTATAGACTGACTTCCAATGGTAGAGTACTGATTTCGATGACTCAGTGGTATAATAGTATGATAGAGTTGCGGAGAATAAGGGCAGAGGGGAAAAAGGCCGGGTGATAAGCGGCATCCGAGTCGGCGCTGGGGATATATCTCCGCCATCGGACCCCCGCATTGCGCCAACACAGTCGAAACTGGAAAAATGCAAGGACTTGTGATTGCAGAACATCAGCTAAGGCTGAGGTCAAATTGAAGTGAAGTTAATTTGCAGAAATATCATCTCTATTGCGCGGCATATGTTGGACAGTCATTTCACTCCGATAGCAACAATACCTGATTAGGACTAGCGCGCTGTCATGCCGCATCTTCCCCGCCACGTGACTGTGGCCGAATCGGGCAAGGGCAGGAGGGGCAAAAGAAAGACTGAATAGATTCATCTCGTGGCTCCCTGACTCAACTTCCCTCGTTGCGCTTCCTTTCCAAACCCCCTCCACAGTCCTTGAACAGATTGCAAACATGGCCGAGGAGCAGTCGCACACCGCGCAAGAACAGGATATCAATCCTTGGTCCGTGGAGGGTGCCCGCGACGAGAACGGAGAGGTGGTCGCCATCAACTATGAGGCCATCTGTCGGTATGTGTTACCCCGCCATTGAAGCGCTCATTGCAATCCACGCAACAACCCGCTAACCACCTGCAATTACAGGAAATGGAACACCTCCATCATCGACGACAAGCTCCTTGAGCGCTTCGAGAAGGTGACCGGACACAAGCCGCATCGCTGGCTCCGACGCGGCCTGTTCTTCAGTCACCGTGACTTCGACCGCATCCTGACCCTCTACGAGCGTGGCGAGCCTTTCTTCCTCTACACCGGTCGCGGTCCCAGTACCGGCAGTCTGCATCTGGGTCACACCATACCCCTGCAGTTCACCAAGTGGCTGCAGGATGTTTTCGACGTTCCCTTGGTCTTCATGCTTACGGACGACGAGAAGGCTTTGTTCAAGGATAGCATAACGTTCGAGGATGCCATGCACTTCGCCATGGAGAACGCCAAGGACATTATTGCCCTGGGATTCGATCTCAAGAAGACCTTCATTTACAGTGACTTGAAGTATGTTAGCAACCACTTCCTCATGAACGCCTGGGAGTTCGGAAAGCTGGTCACTTTCAACCAAGTCCGTGGTGCGTTCGGCTTCAACGAGAGGTATGTTGATCTACCCATTCCCTATAAACTTCATCGGGAGACTAATAACTCGCAGCACCAACATCGGTCGCATCTTCTTCCCCTCCCTTCAGTGTGTCGCCGCTTTCGCTACCTCCTACCCTGAGATTTGGAAGGACGAGCCCTCCACCGAGCGTACCCAGGAGATTGCCAACATCCAGTGCTTGATCCCTATGGGTATCGACCAGGATCCCTACTTCCGTCTGCTCCGTGACAACGCCCACCGCATGCGTTTCCCCTCCCCCAAGCCCGCCTTGATCCACTCCAAGTTCCTTACTGCCCTGCAAGGAGCAGGCGGCAAGATGTCCTCCTCCGACCCCAACTCGGCCATCTTCATGACCGACACTCCCAAGCAGATCAAGGTAAGCGTGCTAACCCCAACGAATATGCTTTCTGCATACTAACAGATCACGCACAATCCAGACCAAGATCAACAAGTACGCCTTCAGCGGTGGCCAAGTCAGCATCGAGGACCACCGCCGTCTGGGTGGAAACCCCGACGTCGACGTTTCCTACGTCTACCTTACCTACTTCGAGGAGGACGACGCCAAGCTGGAAGAGATCTACAAGAACTACAAGAGCGGTGAGCTCCTGACTGGTGAGCTCAAGAAGATGACCATCGAGGTGCTGCAGCAGTATGTTGCTGCGTTCCAAGAGAAGAGAAAGGAAGTCACCGACGAGGTGCTGGCGGCGTACATGAAGCCCCGCAAGCTGGAGTGGAAGGGCAACCCCAACCCCGTCCCGGCCCCGGCCCCTGCCATCCGCACTAAGAAGGAAAGCGCGTGACTAGTGAACCTCGACTGTGGAGTGAGTGGCTGGCTGCAGGATTGGATTTATGATGCTGGGGTTAGATTCATATACCGTTGTCTAATATCCAAGCGAAGACATGAAAGCGTTGAAATAAATAGATTTGGTGTTCGGTTGCATTGTGTATAGATTGTATTCATTATCCTCCTTCCAAGGGTCTCCAGACATCAATTAAATTAATACTCAGCAAAAAATGTAAATCATGACAATGTCCTTGGTAAAAAGTCATCGTCAATGCAGATCGGATCGCGGGGAAATCTGGCCCCGGATGATCTGCCGCCCGTTGCAATTTTCCTAAATCGATGACTCATGACTGCCTCTTTCCTACAACTGCCACTCCACACAACTACAATCGATACTCAATTGAGGAAAGAAGATGAAGAAAGAATAAGAAAAATTTTATTCCGGCCCGATATACAACCCAGTAAAAATAAGAAACTCGACTGAAAACAATTCCCTAGATCATGGTACACCGTAACTTTTCCCACCGGGGATATGCTAATAACACATTATGAATAGATTTACTTCTGGTTCTCGGGGCGGAGGGAGCTATAAGAATAGAAATGTTAGCAGAAATTCTCATACATAGAATATAATGAATGGGGAATAACGTACCGAACGGCCTTGCCGGCGCGCCAGATTTCGAGATCACGGATGTCCTGCATCTCCTTCTCGTACTTCTCGCGGTAGTCCTTCTGGGAGTTGTACTCGAGCGAGCGCTTGGTCTCGGAGCCATCACGGACGCTGTCGTAGAGCTCGTTGAAGAGGGGCTTCAGGTTGTCCTTGAAGCGGTTGGACCAGTCGAGGGCACCACGACGGGCGGTGGTGGAGCAAGCGGCGTACATCCAGTCCATGCCGTTGGCACCGATGAGAGGGTAGAGGGACTGGGTAGCCTCCTCGACGGTCTCGTTGAAGGCCTCGGAGGGGGAGTGGCCACGCTCACGGAGGACCTCGTACTGAGCGAGGAACATACCGTGGATACCACCCATGAGGCAACCACGCTCACCGTAGAGGTCGGAGTAGACCTCCTTCTCGAAGGTGGTCTCGTAGAGGTAGCCGGAACCGACGGCGACACCCATGGCAATGGCGCGCTCCTTGGCCTGGCCGGTGACGTCCTGGAAGACGGCGACGGAGGAGTTGATACCACGGCCCTCACGGAAGAGGGTACGGACGGTACGGCCGGAACCCTTGGGGGCGACGAGGATGACGTCGACGTCGGTGGGAACATCGACCTTGGTGAGGTCCTTGAAGACGGGGGAGAAACCGTGGGAGAAGTAGAGAGTCTTGCCCTTGGTGATGAGGGGCTTCAGGGTGGGCCAGGTCTCGGACTGAGCAGCGTCGGAGAGCAGGTTCATGATGATGGTACCCTTCTTGACGGCCTCAGTGACATCGAACAGGTTCTTGCCGGGAACCCAGCCGTCCTGGATGGCCTCCTTCCAGGAAGCACCATCCTTACGGACACCGACAATGACGTTCAGACCCTGGTCACGGAGGTTGAGACCCTGACCGTGACCCTGGGAGCCGTAGCCGATCAGGGCAAGGGTGTCGTTCTTGAAGTACTCCTGGAGCTTCTCGCGGGGCCAGTCCTCACGCTCGTAGACGGTCTCCTTGTCATCGGCGAAAGTGATGGTCTTAACACCGCGGGAGGGGACGACGGGGGTGGCGGTCACACGGGGGAGAGCGGCGGAGGCAGCCTTGGCCAGGGAGGGACGGGGGAGAGCAGCAGTCACGACGGACCGGGGGGCCGAGACGCGGGCCAGGCGGAGGGCACGGGGAAGTCCACGGGAGGCCATTGTGTGAAGAGGGTGTGAGAAGAAGAGGGGAGAGGGTGAAATGGAAAGAAAGGAAGTGAAGGAATTGGATGAGAAAGAGGAAAAGGGAAGAGGGAGGAGGGAAGCAGCCGGTTGCAACTTTATAAACTCGTTGCTGGGGACGAGATCGGCCTGCTCTGGGACACGTGATCCGGAGTTGGACTGCTACTCCCCGGCCGATGTCGGATTGCCGGGCATTTGATTGGTCAATGGCTGCGCGTTCCGTGGACGTGGAGATCACCTGAGGCGCGGGCCTTGCCGCTTCGGGGTTAGTCTGTCGCCGCTCGCTACGGGGAAATCACCTGATACGCAGCTGGGCTTTTCTTTCCTGTTGCAGGTTTGTGATGCCCCAGATGGAGTCTGGGGAAAGACAACTCGGTGACTCACGCACCTTGACTCAGTGCTGGTGATGGAGCTATACAGACATTCTAACCGGATTGGCTGTCCGAGGACCGTATTTTTGGACGCTAAGGGGTTCTCCAAGGCCTAGAAGACCCCGTTTCATGTGTTAGCTAGCTAGCTAGCTAGATTCTTGGCATGTTGAGTCACTCTAAATAATGATATAGAGTATAACTACTGGGAGGATATCAGTGACTAAAATATAGAATGCCGAGATAGGAGTTTAGTTTTGGAAACTTATAACATTATGATTGTACATTTTTTCCAATCCTGGTACATGTTACCATGCCATATAGCAAGACTGTTCACAGCATGAATACTATCTCTAGTATCCGGGATAAATATATATATTTCCCTTTGGCTTGAAGCGTTTATCTCCAACTGACTCCAAACATGGGGAACATATCAGCTTTGGGAATTCCTCGCAACATAGTACTGATCTTTGAGCTGATGGCAGTTTTCGAAAGCCAGATTCAAAGTTATATGTAGCTCACTGCATCCCTAAAATGCTTTTGCTCTTAGTTTGGCGATAACAGCTGATCAAAAGTGTATAGATCGGAATTGAATGTAATATAGCGGAACATGATCATGCGGCCTTTGTTGATGTTGGACAGTTCTATTTGAAACCCCGTCCTCAGTCTCGCATCAGCCTTGAGTAACCCTGATTACTAGTATAGGAAGCACACTGCTGTCAGCACTGCAATGCTTTTCTTAATGGAGATGTAGCAGGAGATGTGGTATGCTCGACCCTAGGAAACCATGATGTCTCAATGCATCTCCCACTCCCCTCACCCCATCGGAGGTAGAAGGATACCATACATATGGAGCATTATCACAGTTTCCGTCCTATGGCAAGCATCCATAGGCAGCAAAGCTAGTGGATGAGAAAGAATTTCACACAAGAGCAGCCTCGCCCTTCGATCTTTTTCTGCCCTTCTTTGGCGTTAGGAAATCTCAACCCACGAAATACTACGAATGGGGGAGCTTATGCCAAAGGCTCATTTATATAGACTGTGGTCGAAATCAATCCCCACTTTCTTCTTCGAGAGAAAGGTTATCACCCAATCTGCACCTCTATATCCGTCGTCACCCTTATATTCTCGAGTTCAATCGCATTCTCAGACCGATGACAGGTTCTCCCCCCAATTGTACACCCGCCTCGTAGCCCTTTTCGACCGTCAAAAAGCTCGTGCTCAATACCACCAGACCAAGTTGTGCCGGTCGAAGAATGCCCTAAACTTGAAGTCGTCCGCTGTTTGTGACCCGCCGATGTACATCGTGGAAACATTCCGCGAATGATTGGGAGACAAGAAACGACTAGCCCGACAGATGGCTCGATATGGGTCCATAGAGTGGCGTCGTAGATAGTATCTAATCATAGTCAACCTGCTTCTCGATGTGTTGGTTTATCATGAAGAGTCTCACATGTCACGTCCTTCAGGTCGATGTAGAATAGAACTATTATTCGATATATACTTGCGAAACATACACTATGAAGGGGAAGAAATATTAGAAACTGGTTCTCAAATTTAGGGTCTGAAAGCAAGAAGCCAATGTCAACTCACAATGCACCTAGCGCAAAAACGGCGTTCAACGCCAGCTTATCCTGCCATGAGCGATGCAGTCTCCAAATCATAGGTATCGGGACTGCGAGGATGACAAAGTCCATGACCACGTTGAAACCCTGATTAACAATGATGAAAGTGGTCGCGCTGAAGCAGTGTCCCTTGACCTTTATATCCCAGTAGGCGCGAAGCGGGCGGCATTGCAATGCACAGGCCATGAAGATACCCGAGGACCATGCGGTAATGAGGATATTCAGGCAGAAGGTGAAGCGAAGGAACCGTTTAGTAGTGAAGAGGCGGCGGTAGAAGCAGATGAAGGAGATCTTGATCACCGGGGTCAAGACGAAATAGGTGAATTGGCTAGACAGGAATATCTAGTTGAACCTCAGTGAGGGCTTGAAGAACAAGGCTGCTGATGGTAGTGTATCCTAAGTGAAACACCCACTTTATAGAACAGTGTAATGGCCCTAGTATCGAGATCAGATAAATGGTAGCCATTCCCACCAATGAAACACCCTGATACGATTCATCCAGTCAGACAGATGCTATTGAGAGCATCCGGAAGCTTACACAGAATCAGCTCAATCAACATCCCCAAAATCAGTATGACAGCCACGAAGCAGAGACAATCATCTACTCCGAAACCAGTGCGCCGCTTGACTCTGGCAACAAATCGTAAAGCCATACTGAGGCACGCAAGGCCGACCAGGACGGAGACAATCACAATCATCTCCTTCCCCTTGGCGCTGGGGCCCATCCTGATTCACAGATGACGCGCAATGAGCCTCAAGGAGGAGCGAAAGGCAACATGAGTGAGGAGCTGCGGGGAATCAAGTCAGCTTTGGGAACCATTAGACTTTTATTGCGTTCTGGGATCAGATACTCTTTCTTCCGATGGGTTTGTGCAATGTAACCCCTAGTGACTGCCTATGAGCGGAAGGGACGGACTGGCAATCCCCGTCAGTGGCTTTCTTCCATTGAATCCCTGTGTCACCAGCCCACGTCCTTCTTCCACCTGCTCACCACTAAGCAAAACTAGCAAGTCGTCTTCCATCCTTACATCCTGTGTGACCGATCATGGATCCTTCTTCCACGGCTATCGCAGCCTCTGTCGCCAAGGTTGCCCTGCTCATCAACGGCCGAGACTATGGCGGCTCGCACCCGTTCGAGATTGAGAGCCCTGTGACCGGCAAGACTTGCTGGGAAGCAGCATGTACTACGTTTGCCGATGCGACGACGGCTATTGAGACAGCGAAGGCAGCATTTCCAGCGGGGGCTCGTACCAAGCCTGCTGTCAGACGTTATATCCTGCTTGAGACAGCCAATGTTCTCGAGAGACGTCGAAGAGAATTCGCAAACTATATGCATGTTGAGGCGGATGTGCTGGCTGGACTTATGTTGAACGTACGATTTGTCATTCACTCTCATCGGTGAGAATACATTACTGATTAAGGATAGTCCTATCGAATCTACATGTCAACTGGTCGTATCCTTGTTGATGCCTCTATTGCTGAAGAATTCATGGATGCCCTGAAATATGCTCTGAGCATGACGGATGCCCAAGTGCTTTCCGCTCATATTCGTCAATGCACTTATAAAGTCTCACGCGGAGAGCATGATTACGAGCGCTGTGGAATGTGGTGCCGAGTTACTCCATGGAAAGCTTGAGATAGAACCAAGTTGCGACGGTGTTCTGAGTATTAGCCCGTTCGTGCTCGCTTATGTTAACCCAAACATGAGAGTGTGGCTCGAGGGGGAATATACTACATTGACGGCTTGCATGCTTATCAGGAGCGACGATGAAGCTGTCAGAATCACCAATAGTGTTGGATACGGCAGCTCTGCTTCTGTTTTCACAAAAGACCTTCGTAAAGGTCTTGCAATAGCTAAGCAGCTGGAGTTTGGGTATGTTACCTACCTGAGTAGATGAGAATGGCTAAGCAGAGATACTGACTGATCCAGCGTAGTGCATATGAATGGTATGAATATGCATGATGAACCGGTCCTTCCATACGGTGGAACCAAGGACTCCGGTTGGGGGCGGTTCAATGCAGAGGAGGGATTGAATGAGTACCTTGTGACTAAGTCTGTGACTTGGAAGGATTGAGGCAGCGTATGGAAGAGGTGAGAAGTACATTGTCGGATGCTTATCTTGCTTGGTGACTTGTAAATGTTCGAAAAACTCATGTCTGGCAATGGAAGATGTATCACCAATTCGTTCACATATACGCACTGCTTAGATCTTAATAAACCTCAGTGATTGATTTGCTACAGTATGTTGTTTACAACTGGTATCTGGTGGTCCATACAATGGTGGCAAGGAACTCAGACCTATACTTATCGACTGATGACCACGAGGCTTCGATTAGAGAGACAGGTTTACCACTAGCATTTCCCACAACAATTTCGCGCTATTCAGTATATACTGATTTTAAACAGCAGGCATGATCTTGCAGAAACTACCATTCACTGTCCTTGTCGTCATGAAGAAGATCATTCACTGTGTTTATCATTATTCGTGTTTCTCTCCATCCTCCTCCCCGTATTTCTACTCTGACTCTTCTACCTTCTTCTCTTCACCAATCTCTGTCATTTGTAATGTTGACCTGCACAGCTTGTATCAAAGTAAGACAAAGGAGACATACCTGTATGCGACACATGACCATCTATTACTGACGTCACATAAGGACAGCCCGATAAACACCAGGAAGCAGCTAAATATGCTTTCATCGTCTACCGGCTCAGTGACTTCTCTCATGACATAAAGCGGAGAGTCAGTTTTAGTTCATTCGAAGAGCAGCATGTTTTCCTCCGGCTTCAGATTGAGGCTCACAAGTACATCTTACGGGGAATGCCGTATGTGGTGTGATAATGAGTTATTGCTATGTTGATAGACAAGTATAAAGATGGGATTTAGACCAGTATTCAAAACTAGAACCTGCTTATAGGATGCTGTACTGTCAAATTCGCAGAAATTTAGGTTAGGATACCACTGACGGACCAAAAGAATTTTCCGAGAGTCAATATACATGAAGGATGCATACGATGTATACCAACACCTAAACATGGCTCGCCACAAAGTCACTGTCCTGCTCGGAAATGCATGTTTTATTACCAAGATCTCCTTATTATCTGTTTATGGCCTCCATTCTTCATGACTGCAGATTCCAAGCGATCTGACATCTTTTCTTTCCAATTTGACCCTGCCATTATCATATTCCATGTCGTCCTCTTCCGAGACCTTGATTCCCTACAACTTAGCTCCTCCTAGCATGCACATGATAAATCCAAAGCTGTAGGCTTCTATATTTGGGCCACATATACTGGATTACGAACTTGGAGAGAAGTAGCAGAAGTTATTGAGAAGATTATCCAAGTTTATGCATGGAGAAGACAACAATATCCCAGAAGTCCTGGGAAAATGTAGATGACGTATCGTTGATGACGTTATCAGAGTAAAATATCGGCATCAGTGACATTGTGCCGGCCACAGTTGGGTGATACGTGTGGTCCTATATGCTGAAGCTATTTTAGAGGTAGCGGTAACGGTTCACACCCGGAGACTGGTGGAGGAGGTGACTAATATTGTGAGCATGTAGGTATGGACGGGATACATAACAGGTAGAACATCTAGTTGGGATAGTATTTTTCATATATTATATGCAGGGCTATGTGAATACGGGTTTGTTCTTTGGGATTGCTCTACTACTATACACACCGTAACTTCATCATCGTCGTCATCGTCACCGTCATCACTTTGGATAGATTCGTTCATCCGCTCAAGCATCGCTTCCACTCTCGATAACCACCTTCACCACCGGCCTCCCCTCCTCATCCACTCCCTTGCCCGACAGGTTGAACGCTCGATCCCCATCCGCCAGCGCCACCCGATGCGTCACCACCAACTTCTCCACACGATCCATCTTCCCACTCGCCATCAGCTCAATAGCCGCGGGATACGCATACCCATCATACCGGAATACTCCCAGGATATCAACCTCTCTCAGCGCCGCCGCTCCAACAGGGAGCGTCTGCACGGGATGGCCCATGCCAATCTGTACCAGCACTCCACCCGCCCCCGCAGCATAGATTCCCGCCTGCACGCACGCCGGCACACCCGTGCAGTCATACACGCGCGCATAGCCCGTCTTCTCCACACCCGCTGACTCCTTCAAAATTCCAGCCACGCGCTGGGCATTCTGCAGTGCCCACGCCGTCTGTTCTGCGGCCGGAGCATCGCGGGCTGGCGCCGGGTTCGCGGGATCCGCCTTGGGGATGAGAGTGGTTTTGAGACCCAGTCCCAGCTCGTCGGCAATAGCCAGACGGGAGGCATCAATGTCTGCCACCACAATGGAGGAAAAGTTCTGGGAGGCGGCCAGCGCAGAGGCCAGGAGGAGGCCGATGGCACCGGCGCCGAAGATCAAGGCGGCGGTGGGTTCGCCGAGGGACTGCGCGAGGGAGACGTCCTCGGCGGTTGGGGGCCGGGAGCGGCGGATGGCATGTAGGCAGACGGCGAGGGGCTCAACGAGGGCACCGCCGGCGTAGGAGACGTGAGAGGGAAGCTTGTGGCAGAGGGAGGCGGGGTGGTTGGTACGTTCCATGAGGGTGCCGTCGAGATGAGGGAAGAGTTTCGCGCTGCTGCGGAACTTCATCTGAGGGCAAATGTTATAGCGCCCTTGTTGACAGAGGGCGCATTGATGACAGGCAAAGCCGACTTCCAGGGCGACGCGGTCGCCCACGGCGTGGGTGGTTACCTCGGGGCCGATGGCTGTGACGATGCCGGAGGATTCGTGGCCCAGGCACATGGGTTCGCGCACCAGGAAGTCGCCATTGCGTCCGTGGGTGTAGTAGTGCAGGTCGGAGCCACAGAGACCAGTGGCGCGGATGGCGACTTGGACTTCACTGCCGGTTGGAGGGGAGAGAGGGCGCGACTCCTGGTTTTTGTTAGAGATGTTTTTGAAGATAGAAGGAGTAAGAGAGTGGGGTGCGGGGAAGCTCTTACTAGGCGGAGGTCTTTGGCGCCATGCAGGACGAGGGCCTGGGTGGTTTCTGTAGAGTTGACGGTCATGATGATTATGAAGAGGAGAGTGAGGGTGAAAAGGAGAAGTGTAAAAATGAATGGAAAGAGGAATGGAAACTCAATACATGACGTGGGGGAAGAAATGTAATCTTTTGAATGAGAAGTAATGGATTCAGTCGCCGGAGGAGCTCCGCGTCGGCTATTGACTCCTACCCGGTCAATAGCCGACGGCATCCCAAATTGGATGGCCGACCCCGCATACCCTCTTTTCTATCTGGTTATTGCTGTATTATTGCGTTATTATCGCTGGATGATATGTTTCTAGATTACAAAGTAATCAAATGTCTCCCCCCACGCCAAATGGTGGATCTATCTCCACCGGCCATTCATAAATGCCCTGATTAATCGGATATTCCCCGTTGTATATCCCTCACATCTTCTGTTCGTCTTTTCTTCTTCCTTTCCTTCCCCTCTTCTCCCCGCAGGATACTCTTTTCCTTTGACATCATCGCCATCATGCCCGCCGCATTGCTGATCGGTGCCATCACCCACTCCATCCCCGAATGGAATGATCTCTCCTCCATCCTGACCTTGAAGGAATTCCCCTCCGGAACTCGCGAGGACTTTCTCCGCAACTGTCGCGACGGCCAGTACGACGATGTTGTCGCCATCTATCGCTCCAATACATCTACGAAGGTGGGCAGACTTCATGACTATATCTTAAGGTAATAGCTAAAGCGCTTCAGTTCACCGGCCCATTCGACGCAGAACTAGTTTCCGTCCTGCCCTCCTCACTCAAGTACATCGCCCACAATGGCGCAGGCTACGATAACATCGACGTCGCGGCCTGCACAAAGAAAGGTACACACAGCCTCTCCTACTAGCATGACGCACACTAACCATCCCAGGAATCGCTGTCTCTAGCACCCCCGTTGCAGTCAACAATGCCACCGCCGACGTGGCCATCTTCCTAATGATCGGCGCATTGCGACAGGCATACATTCCCGTCTCGTCGCTCCGCGAAGGTGAGCCTATCCATTCCAACCCAGTCACAACCAAATATAACCATGGAATAGGAAAGTTTCTCGGCCAAACTGGCCTCGGACATGATCCCCAGAACAAGGTGCTTGGAATTCTCGGCATGGGAGGAATCGGCCGTGTAAGTTAAGCACACAGGACCCAAGGAGCATCATATTAATGAGTTGCAGGAGGTGGCTCGACGTGCGCGCGCCTTCGGAATGACCATCCAGTACCATAACCGGTCGCGTCTGTCCCCGGAACTCGAGGACGGAGCGACCTACGTCTCGTTTGATGAACTGCTCGCCAATGCTGATGTGTTGAGTTTGAACCTGGCGCTCAATGCGTCCACTCGTCACATTATCGGCAAATCAGAGTTTCAGAAGATGAAGGATGGAGTCATCATTGTCAACACGGCGCGTGGAGCGCTGATTGATGAGAAGGCCTTGGTTGAGGCGCTGGAGTCGGGCAAGGTTAGTTTAAAATTTCATTTGAAAGTAAGGGTAACCGGGCTAATGTGATGATTTAGGTATGGTCGGCTGGACTGGATGTCTACGAGAATGAACCCGCAATCGAGCCGGGCTTGGTGAACAACCCCCGGGTCATGCTGTTGCCGCATATTGGTACCATGACTTATGAGACACAACGAGAGATGGAGTTGCTCGTGTTGAATAACCTGCGCTCCGGCGTGGAAACAGGGAAGATGATTACGTTGGTGCCGGAGCAGAAGGATGTGTTTGGGAAATAGATGTATTGTGAGGGATACCAACCTTATTTAGATATCGCATAGATCAGAATATTTCATACCCTAAAATCTAAATCCTCTCCATACTACAGCTTCCTTCAGATGGGGCTCATATTTAACTCTTGCTCTTAGATAGAACTTACCCCCAGCACTTTTGACCCTCACAGTTCAGCACTTGATGACGCTATACTGATATCCTCACCCCTCCGTCATGACTACATAACAACTTATGACCACGACTACCAGCTAACCACACTTCGCATAGACTTGACACTATCTACTACCAAACGATTCTTCCAACCACTCCTTCGAAACAGTATACTCT